ATAACTTTACACTGTTGGTGGAATTTGAAGGTCACATCAATCACTACAAGATATAAAGACCTATGTAGATCGCATATTCGCATCAGACCATGGGAAAGTCGCCATATACAGTGTATACTGTATAACAGTACAAACACGAGATCGTAATAATATTCGAGTGCATCATTATAATGTATAGATCCGAAAAGCAGTGTTTTTTAAGCAATCATATGATTTAACTAATAATAACTCATGTCAATTTTTTCTTGTTAACCGGCCACATCGTTTATTTTAATATCTATACAGCACATGCAATTATATACCTACTTGTCCCTCGCGCACAATAAAATAAATAATAATAATATAACATTATATTATATTAAATAAGTCGATGACGGGTTGGACACTCGTTTATGTATTATAGAGGTATCTACCTACATTATTATTATTATAACGTGCTGCAGTAGTGCAATATTACCACACACGGAGAAAGAATTTTCAGCGACGTCGTATCACATCACGCATAATAATACCAATACGCGCGAGTGTATATACAGAGGCGATCTGTATGCAAGTACCTATATACAATGTTATATAATACATGTCTATGCAGCGCGAACACCGCACACAATAAGGGGGTAGTGTGGCGAAAAAAAAACAATCCCGCGAAGTTTTCCGTTTTTTGCCCTCTCTCTCTCTCTCTCACACACACACAGTATATGTAACAATAATAACATAATGTATAGATACACATATACCAATACAACAATACACACGACGAAAGCGACTGTGTACACAATATTATTATTACACGCAGCTCACACACACACGCACGCGTAGGTAATAATAAAAGGATCATCGGCTATCGCGCTTATTGTATGCGAGCGGGAAGCGACAGCCCGCGAAAACGTCGGGCGTTTGTATACACAAAACCGCGCTGACGGATGGATGGACGGATGGACGGACGGACGAACGGAAAAGGCGCGCGAGCACAAACACGAGGTTTTTACACGTATAGGTACGTATATTATTATTATTATGTACATGCATGTATGCAGTGTCGGTGTATATCGGTCGCAGTACATATTGTTCGGGGGCAGATGCAACCGATACCCGGTGCCCTGTAGCTGAGCCCTCTTTAAAATAACATCGAAAGAGAGCTTATGATATGTGCCCATGTATGGGAAATCGCGAAGGGTATATATAATATAATAATATGGTATATATATACATTATATACACACGCGGGGTATTGGCCAACTCGCGACCGATTTCATCCTGTATACAATATAATCCACGATATACATATATATACCTACCTATAGGCACCAAACGTCGAAAAACGGGGTCTCGTCAAATCGTCAACTCCGTGCGGTTCCACACAATGATAGGTACAACAACAACGCGACAAACGCGTCGGTTTTATAGTCCGTATTATTATTACTAGTAACCGATTTATTATAGCATGTAGTTTTATGCTGTACGATGGGTACACAACAGAATATTTATATTTCAACACCCGTCAATCTTCATATTATTATATTATTAAATATATAAATGCAAAAGGTGGGAAGCATTAACTATAATATACTTTGTAAATTTTCTAATTTACTATAAATAGATAACTATTAATTATAGTTGTATTATAGTTGAGAATCAGCCACCGCGCAACAACTTATATATTTTCACAGTTAATTCGAAGACAAATATAACGTTAAATTAAAATCAGGTTTATACTTATAAAAGTAATTTATAGGTGTATATAACTGCATCGGTTAAAAAACAATTGATAATTACATTTTATTTGTTTCATCACTTTGTATTGGCCTAACAAGTTTCATGTTTATTATTACATTTAGGTATAAATGTATTAAATATTTATTATTCGACCTAGATCATATCGGAATAAGGCTATAATGATATTATAATATAATATGTACAACTGTTAAAGTATATCACCTATATTGGTTGTATATGCACATAATCTACCATTGACGTAAGTTACTTATTTGAGGTGCAGTTCATAAGTGTGGAGTGCTACGGGGGTGCAGTAATATCTAGGGAATTTTTTAGTGTCGTACTAATGTACCTGTATATGTACATCAATAATATATAATATAATGTATACCTATATTACGACTTACGAGTATATATAGGAAATTTTTTTTCGATCCTCGCGTAGATATACGCGTGTTGGTTTTTGTTAACGCGTGAGCGTCTCATCGACACGAACGATCGTATAGTAAAATAGTCGTATCATATATTATTATTATATGTACAATAATATAATAGATTCTCAGCGTTTAAAAAGTCGACGGGCACGCGACTTTTTAAATACCGATAACAATAATATATATATATATATGCGGTATCAGCCCGTACAAACCATATTTGTACAACATATACATATATATATATACAACGATTGTTTTTATTGAGCCCATTTGTGTACATAATATATAGATACTCCCACACACACACACGAATTTCCCCCCTTTTGTATTTTCCGGCAAATACACACACACACATATATTATAATGTATATACTGTATACGCATGTACAGAAAAACCGAACGTACAGTGTAATAAAAACCGAAACGGCGGCGGCATTGTGTATAGGGTTTTTATGGTTGCGGATCACGGATTCACGACGACGACGACGACGACGACGACGACGACGAAGCGCGTGCGAGGGAGAAAGAGAAAACAGCCGCGGCGTACTCGGCGGATATATTGTATTATATATTATTATTATACGCAGCCGGGCGCCATTTTGTCCCGAGCCGCTCGTCGTCGAGGGTCTCCGTCCGAATTGATTGCGCGCGCGTTTACGCTCGTCGTAATAACAATATATAAAGTACCATGTCTTCCACTCGTCCACAGTGTTTTTATCGCGGTTATCTGTATTATACAAGTAGATAACCGCGGTTTTTGAATAATATGATATTGTTATACGCATAGTAATGCTGTTAAATAGGTATACAATAATAATATGTATAGATATTATTATAATAATAGGTATAGGTGCCACTGCGGCTGCGGATGCTTATGAGATAGAAACGCATAGATATATTATACGTCATACATTATTATGTTCCGCGATGTATTTATGTGCCTATGCAGTAGGTTTATGTTATTAATGTTATTATATAAGTGGGCAAGTTGATGAAAAAAGTTTGCTTGAGTTAATTAAGTTAAGTTAATGTTCAGAATATTAAGTTATAGGTTAAAATAAGGTAAGTATCAAATAATATATTTAGCTCTAAAAGTTTAAGTTAATGTGGAAAATAATATTATCTTTAATACTAATCTAATAACTGAATTTTGTCTATTCAACCCTGTAAATAAAAATTGTTTTTTTTTAATTTTTAATTACTGTTATCTGACACTATAACATAGTGATCTGAAACTTTAAACTTTCAATAATTTTAAGCCTATATAACTATTTAGATAAAAATGCAGCATTTATATTATATTTCCTTCTTATTCCAGCACACTGCATATAAAAAAATTATATTAGGTATTTACATTTATATATCTTATATAATTTATAGGAAATTTAATTAGTATAATAATAGTTGCTTTAATAAAATTCAATTTAAAATCATTGTCTACAGCGCGATTAAACAAAAAATATTTGTATACATTATTACTTCAGCTATATATTTATATAAAAGCCGTAGTTATAGTTAAATTATAGAAAATTAACTAACTAGTTTGGTAAAAAAATCAGTTATAGAATAGTAAAGGTGCAAAAGTTTTGCAAAATATCAAGGGCTGTCAACAACAAAGGAGATCGAGCACCTCGATGATCAGATTTTGAAACTAAAAAATATTTTATATCGATTTGAAAGCTAATGAATTTCATTTATAATAGTAAGTATACAGTGTTAAAAAAAATTGGAATCACTTTAATCTACATATATACCAATAATGACAACTGATAACTGCAGTGCTATACACATTTTTCAGGTAAAATGTTTAATCACCTCAATAAATTATATCACATTATCGTTTTCCGTCCTATAATTAGTCTAATGACCGTTTCAAAACTTTTTAAACACCCTGTATATTACATATTAATATATTCAAAATAAGCATATCGATGTCTATTACATTTTTCTATTAACATAATATGATTTAATATACTATGTACCTATAAAATATGAACCTATAATATGGTGTATTTACTATACCGTAATAAGAAATTTCGTATAAAAAAAAAAATGAAAATGAAAATACAAAAACGGCTATTATGTTATAGTATAACACACAGAGGATTTCTTTTTTTAACCATTTCTTTTTGTACGAGACATTTATTGGCTGCGTACCAATAACATACACATGCATATGTATATATATATATATATTATATTTATAAGGTATATACGTTCCGATGTAATGCTACCATTTTTGGCACGCGCATGGTGCTATACATTATGCATCACAGCGCATATCATAACTGCACTATAGAAGCTTATATATATATATATAGTATTTGTACCAAGGTGGGGTACAAACAAATATTATATGCACATATAAATTGCGAAGTGCAAGGAACGTTTTCTATTTAAGATACTTATATATATATCTATATTTATATATATTCTTTAAACGGCGCGTACTCGTACCCACCGGTACACAAATATATATTTATAATATTATAATAATATCATATATCCACCCACCAATAATATCCCTCCCCGGAGCCCGCAAAACGTGAGTTACGGCATTCGTAGGCGTTTTTTTATCGCGCGCGGCGTCGTATGAAATTGAATGAAAAAAATTTCAATAAAACTGTGTCGTAAACAAGCGGCCATTATAATTCCTACTGAACTATTATTATTGTCTGTATACCGTATGAGTTTATGTTTCGGATTTAGTTCCTCGCGCATTATAGTACGAGACATTAAGTATCGATTTTACGAATATAATACTATATATTATGCGATATTGAATGGTTGATTATATATTTGAATATTTTATCAAGGTATGGCCGCGATGCGGAAAAATCTTCTCACCTGTAAAAGTCGGGCTTGCACAGTATCTTGCCGTCCCTGCTGTAGCATTTGTCGGACAACGTGCCGTGACAGTCAGCGCATTTCACGCATTCAGCGTGCCACGCCCTGTCCAGCACGTTCAAAAGGAACTTATCCATAATGGGTTTGTCACAACCCGCGCAGCTCATCATTAGACTGCTGCACCGGCCACCGCCTCTGCCTGGAAACACAGATAAAACGTCAAGAAACGTGTTATAAACGGGTACGTACATATCACAATATATATACCTATAATAGTACCCATCATACAGTATTATTGTTATTGAAGGTTAAATATTTAGTGTTCACCACAGCCACTATGGTACTCACATGTGACATGCTTAAAAACAAAGAGCATCCGTGTGGGAACAGCTGTGATTTAAGCATATTGCGTGTGTATAGATAAGGTTATTTTCTGACAATATTTTTGGTTTCACTCGTTTTTCACATAATTTAAATAATATCTATATAGGTTTCGTTTTGGTCATCCGATCGAGCACTACATGTACATATTTGTTTAAGTATACCTAGAAGTTATAGAGTACCTATAAGTTATAACCATGCGATATTTCATAGAACGTTTAGACAATATTATATGAAATAACGATAAAAATATTATTACTTTTATTGAGTACTATTTTTCGACTGCGATATCGGTGTATGTTACCGTCTATGAGCGGAATTTATAGTATTATCAGATTGCCCGAGATTAGCTCATCGAGGCAGGTAGACGATTTTTCTTTTTATGAATATTGTGTACATCGTTAATTTTATGCTGTGTGAGCCCTGCACAATGAGCATATATTTGGACTGGAGACCGCAGTGAGCACTACATATATATAATATATTGTAATAATATACGATTTATAGTAAAACACTTTTGGAGATCACGCGCATTCGATCGATCGTGTTCCGATAAATATTGCGGGAAAAAATAAAATACCCGAATCCTACATATTAAACGTACAATAATGCGTAAACACACGCGAGTGGGACACGTTCGTCATGCTCTAATTTTCTATCCAATACATCATATTATTATATGCGTTATTCTGAGAAACCGTTTTTTGCGTATACATACAAGTACGCGGGTATACATAATAATATAAGACGTTATGTTAATTATGCTTGTAGTGGGCCGAATATAGTAGAGGTACATATACCGACACTGTTTTGTCTAAATACGAAGTGGTATACATACGCAGTATAATATCGATCAGCCGAGCCGATGACGGGACGCAATAGTATATGGATGGATCGAGCATTCGAACGAGATTTTAGAGGGGAAAAATATAGATACCGCATAAACTTCTCTTATGCCGTAGGTATTTACACAACGGTCGCACAACGAAAATCTCAGTCGATGATGAATTTGAAGGATTATTTATTTCTGATTCTCGTGACATTAATATACAACTATCTGCAGCGAATAGGTTATAATACACACTTAACAAACGATTTTTCTGTGATCGGAACGTACCTATATAGTATCGTGTGCTTCGAAAAGCGATCATTATAATATATATTATTATATCATGTAAAATATAAAATATATTATAAAAACACCAGAAAAACAATATATATTATATTGTTGAGGTGTCGTTTTTATACATGTAGTCGGACTAAGCTGCCACAGCGATAAATATATATATATATATATACATACCTACCTATATAAGACACGGCGTTTTTACGATCGCGTATATATAATAGAAAACCGCTAAAACTCGCGACGCCTATTAAACAAACGCGTGTTATAAGAAAATATAAAACATATATAGTATTAATGTCGGCCATTATAGTAATATCTATAATATTATGTATATGTTTATGGTAGGTATATGCGCAAATTATACACTCACACACGCATCCTTGTGCGCGAAAAGTCGGTAGTCACCGCGGGCAATAATGTCCTATTCTGCACACATTGCAGCACATTCGACACTTTAATAATATGCATCGTATTATATACCTACGTAAACTATACCTATATGCACGTGTATAGGTACCTATATTATAGTATTATGCCCCATTTTAATAACAACACATATTATACTATAATTTAGCTGGTAGGTAAATACCTATAACACAATACTATTGGTTTAATATTTAGCACTCGCGTTTTTCAACGCATTCAGGAAATGGTGGTGTTTTATGATAAGTATTAATAATGGTCGTATGATATTAAGTATGTACAATTATGTGAATATTACACGTCATTGAGGGCGATTGATTAGCGCCAAATATATAATATCGTCGTTTGTTTCAATACACGCACGCATTATGTAATCACCCGTTTATCGTAATGTGTATAATTCAGTATAGGTACCTACGACAATAATCTCCCCCCTTTTTTTTACTAGACCATACACATACGTATTCATTTAATATTTATACACTTTTTTAATGATATACTATTACTAATATTATAGTGTTTATACAAATTATGATGAAAGATGATGGTAATACATAAGGGCACATGTCATGCGTATCTCACCAGAATTGAACAGGTGTAAGTAAAAATTGTTATTGTATATAAATTCCACCCCGAAAATGATTATTTAAAACGTAGGTAAAATGATTATTTAAAACGTAGGTATAGGTATATTGGTTGTAATTAAGAACATAAAAAATAATTTTTTAGTAGGTGTATGTGTATTTAATTTTTTTATGTTCATTTCAGATTATTTATAATATGTGTACTATTATAATGTAGGTACTAATAATTATTGTAGTATTGTGTTTGTTTGAGATTTAGAGTAACGATACAATTATTTAGTAAACCATGAGAATTCAAAAATATTAAATTTTGTTTGTATCGTCAAACAATGTATGGACAATATATAAGAAACATTACGGATGATAAATTGATTTACAACTGTTTAAAACACTTGAAATGTTTCGGTTGAATTTTGAATCTATAAAGCATAATATATATAGCAAAGTGTGTACAATAGAAATCAATATTTTAACAGCTTTTGGCTTCTTAGCTATCGATATATATAGGCATTGCATTAAACCTGGTATACACCTATTATTATTACCTAGTAGGTATACCACGGTAGGCAGCCGGGGGGTGGATGGTATTAAAGTGGTCGAAAAAAAATGCCTGTGCGCTGTGCATGCAAGACTCTGACTGTCGAGTTATAAGTCGATCATCCGTAACGAAGACGCCACGAGCCCGAGCTACGCGTGCTTCGGCCAGATAGACCATACATATTATATTTTTTTCTCCGTCTATATACATGACATATCGTTATAGACGTACCGCGCGAGAATGAAAAAACAAACTGTCCGTCGCCATCGTCCGCCCGATGACCACTATTTTTTGACACCGCACGCTACAAGTCGAGTTACGCACGAGTTGCCGTCGTTAACCCGCCGCCGCTACCGCCGTCTCGGCCAGCGACAAAAATCAGAAAAACGTATACACACACACACACAAATACAAGACGAGTACATATCTATAGGTACGTATACATACATACTATGTGTATAATAAAACGGACGATGGAAGAAAAAACACTCGGAAAATTATCCGTCGTCATGTTACGGTGTGTCTTTTGGAATGCGCCGACTGTATATTATAATATAATAATGCAATGCGTTCTAAGACACAAAAAATTGTCTATAGGTACACGCGCGAGAGATTTGAGTGATGGCGACGGAACCAGCAGCAGCCGCGCCGAACAAGGAGGGCTCGAGAAATTGCGAAAAAAATTCAAACGCTAAACATGAATATATTTATGAATATTTACCTGTATATATTTATAGCCGCTTATAATTATTGCATAATATTATGTAGGTATATTATAAGAATGTATTAATATAAATATAGGTGGTAATAGTACCTAATAAATAATATAGTTCCAGCGGTTTACCGATATAATGCAATTGTTGAGTGATGGTTATACCTATATTAATGGCCATGTTTTCCTTCTTTATGAGCGAAAAAATTATATAATAATACCTATCCAACTAATATGTAGCTGTATGAGTATAAATATAAACGTGGTTGAAAAATACCTTTTATTAGATCATTAATCGTGTAAGCGATCCAAAAAAATAAATAAAAATACGGGTTTTCTTTTGATGATTTATAGAGAATTTAACTTTTAATCTTACATCCATAGTTGTGTATAAAATATAGTTACCTAATATATAAGAAAATCGCATGCGTAAAAATGTTTAATTTATTGAACATGCGCAGTGTGAACTGACTCTAACATAAATATATAATATATATATTATGTGTATAATGTATATTATATATATATTATATATACAACGTGATCTGTAGTTTAAATAACACGAAACGATTTATGTCTAAATCTATTAAAATGCATACACGCGAGTTCCTATGTACATTAGATATGAACCAGAAATAAAGTCTTAAAGCCAATTTATATTGTTTTGCTAAATATATCGCTATTTTAATGGCTGGAAATTGAAGTCGATAAAATGTGACAGCTGGTAACCCAAAAACGGAATGCATATAAACATATGACATAGAGTTTTAATGGGGCTCCGATAATATAGGTATATTGCTATAAGTACTCAAATAAAATGTTTTAATATATCTATAAAATATTATATGTCCACACAGATAATTATTTCAATAAATTATGAGATGTGTATATTTTCTTAAAAACAAATAATTTTGAAAATTTGAATATCGGTTCCTGCAATATTATAACTTATTGGTGTATTTCCAAACAACGCTTTTAGTATAACAATATTTAGGTAGTAACTAGTAATTGGTATCGATTTAAGTTTTAATTTTTAATAGTGCACATATAGATAGATTCCTCTATGCATCTATAGAATCATCTACAGAAAACAATCAATCGATGAAATAAAATAAGCTTTTAGAAATGTTGACGCTATGCCTAAAAGGCAAATCAAAGTTTAGTTTTAAGTTTAAGCTTATATATATATTATACTAAGTTTTATGCTATTTTTAGTCTTTTTATTTGTTGTATTATATATAGTAGGTATATATTTTTAACACCGCAATCAATTACTATTTTGAACACATTTTTTGTCATGCATGTATCGTGGTTTTGAGTTGCCGTCCTGTTGAGTTTCAAATAGTACCTACCTATATGCATCTATTCCATATAAATTATTCCTACTTCCTATCATCGAATATGAGAAGATAATAGTACCTAATTATACCGTATATATAGTGATGCTTTTGGGCTCTTATTTTGGAGCTCCGACTACCGGGCGTAGACTTTTTTTCCTTATAATAGTTTGATTCGGGGTTGGTTTGTGTTTGGAATAAAAATCCTATTGTATATAAATATACCTATATATTATACAACAATCTTTAAATCTATTTGTCTACATCAACATTTACCATTTCATCTAGTTGGCAAGGTCGGAATACCTTAATAGTTGAAAATGCAGATTGTATGGAAAGTTCGTTATACTTTTTTTATAATATCGTGACATAATTTCACTCGATGAAAAAGGGTAGGAATATTTTTAAAGATTTTCCAATTCTACACGCGGGAGAAGCAACCAGCTAACCATAGAGTGAGGAAGCCCATGCCGAAACTTATAAATTTAATAAAATCGTCTATTATATACCGTATGCTGCAGGTGCATAACCAATCGCGACGAACGTGTAGCCTATTTTCAAGTATAATAAACATACATATTATATAGGTACAGCGGACATGTATATACCTACACGGGACGCTGAGTTTTCGTGAGCCGTACGTGCGTGTGTGTATTATTACGTTATGCGGTTGCCGTTCGTCGTGTCGCGCCGTCTATATATCTGTCCTTCGGACACATGTATATATGTACGCACGCACAATAAAAACGTAACGTTATAGGTATATATAGTATGTAGGTACCTCTCTATACTTAGGTTGTATACAAGATACTAATATACGTATACCTATATATACTACACAGAGTACACGACGAACAGAGCACCACAGAGGTATATAGAGGTATTGTGAGTATATCATATACTGCGTGTTGGTATAAACGTCACTTTTCGTTAAAAGATTCTCTTTTGACATGCATGACTGACAATTCGACGTATCGTGCCTACGACGACGGCGATCCTGTCTGTCTCTCTCTCTCTCTCCTCAGCAGCTCGTCTCTCTCGTATATTTTATTATGATTCTATATAGATTTCGAGTTGCGGGGACGACGACGACTATATACGCGACGACGTGTCTGTCTTCTATACAGACGATGAGACATCGTGGGATAAAATAAAAAATAAAAATTGTATGTACAAAACGTGGCGCGCATAATCATAATAATGTATATCATGTTATATTATTATATTATAATGCAGGTACATTTTATTTCAACTGATTTCACATAGGTACGGGTAAACCTAGTGTAAATTATTATTTTTAAAGTAAATTCTGCAAAAGGTACTCACTTATATTGTGGGTCTGTGTGACCGGGAAGGACATGTGAAACGGATGTGCCAAGTGGTTTTGAGGGTTCAACGGCGACGTGCTCCGGTTGGCGGACGTCGCGTACATTGGCTGTTGCTGGCCGGCCGCGGACGACGAGTTGCCGGTGGCGTTGGACGACTGAACGGGCAGACCGGCCACGGGTGGCCGGGCAGCCAACGGGTCCACCGCTCCACCACCGCCACCACCGGTTGTAGTGGTGCAGGAGGAGGTGGTGGTCGTCTCGTCCGGGTAGAACTGCAGGCCAAACGTGGTGGCCAGCGACGATGTGGCCATGTGGCCGCCGTGGTGCTGTGGACCGCCGACGGCCGTCGTGCGGATCCGGCAACCCCTGGCATAAGGCGGCTGGTGCACCGCCCCGGCGGCGTCCTGACCCACTGGCGTCGTGATGGCTGTGGTCAACCGGTGCCGGGAATGATCAATGCGCGGCCGTCCGCCGGGCGACGGTTGGCGGTGATGCAGCCCGCCGCGACGTCTTTCTGTCCGCCGCGACTGCCGACAACGATCCTCTGCTACAGCGAAGACGGCGGCAGCGGCGGCGGCCGGTAGAGCTGCTAGCACGGTAATAGCGCAGTAAAGACGGCGACCACCTGCAGACGACGCGACGTATCATACGCGGCGCGCACTCGTGTACAATTACGGCGCTCGTTCTTATTATATTCAATCAAAGTGCAACTGTCGCACTGATTTGCAGCGTATTTCTATTCCTTCCGTTTCGTTTGAAATAATATTATATACTACTGTATAGGCACCTCGTGCTTGTAAAACGACCGATGACGGTGACGACAACAACGATGACGACACCCGCGCGTATATCGACGACGGACACGTGTAAGCGATCGCGAGTAAAAAATAAAACCCGAAAGGATGATATTATATTATAATGTGTCTAGACGCGTTGATGACGTATATGACAACGATACGCTTTAAAAAATATAATAGTTAAAAATAAAATAATCGAGCCGGTGTATTATGTGCACAGTCAGTAACGATAAAATATACGAATTTTTATATTAATTTATTCGCGCGCGCGCTCGCCGAACTCAACAGCAGCGGCCAGTAGCACCAGCAGCGGCAGCGAGGACAACAGCAATAGTCGACCGATGCGAAAAGCCGGAAACCGAACACTGTCGCGGTGTGCCGTGCTCGGAGCGGCGGTGCGCGTATGTGCCGCCGCCTGGGTTCAGCCGCGGCGGCGCGGCGTCTATGGAGGTGGTGGTGGTGTCGGCAGCGGTGGGACGGTGGGAGGCGCGGCCGTGCGGCAAGGTAGCGCGGCCGCTGTTGGTCGGCACGGGCGTCGCGACGCCTCTCGGTCGGGCCCGCCTTCTCCTCCAGACGCAGCGGCGTGCGGTGCCACCGCCGCGGTCGTCACGGCGACGGCGGCGGCCGGTGACGAAGACCCCATCGCCGCCGCCGTTTTTTCTCCTCCTCCCACCGCCTCCTCGTCGTTATCCTCCGGCTCCTTCTCCTACTTCTTCTTCATCTTCTTCTTCGTTTCGTTTTGTTATTTTTTCGCTCCGTTTCGTTTACCGTCTTTTTTCTCCCCTCCTCCGGCTGACGGACTGTTCCACTCTCCGCCGCGACAGCACCGCCGACGGGTCGTTCGCGTACGTCTCTTAGAACATTTCCTCCGCGCCGTGACCAAAGACGAGTTTGCACTCGTAGGTACCTTTATATCGTTTAATTATTATGATAATAATATTTATCGATAACGAATTAAAATTACAGGCATGTTATGAAGCAGATAAAAAGATAATATAATTTGGTTCTCTTTTCAAAAGCATAGCTTGTAAAGCTATAGGTATTCTCATTATTCGAATATTTCTTTTCCGTATAGGAACTGACAATTTCTGTCGCTGCTGCGTTACCGGGATGCTATAATTAGGTATTATTATATAAATACAAAATATGCCAATCGGTATAAAGTATATACCTATATATTATATATGGCTAAATAAAATATAATTTGAAGTCCACGATAATTTATAATAAAATATTATACCTATGTACCTTTGCAAGTTTATTTTCTATTGTACACGACGAGCCGCGTATTGCTATAACATAATATATTATTATTATTTTTTGGATGAGATTTTTCCCGAATTAGTAATAATACTCGTGTTCTTATACATACAGGTAATATTTATTACGCTCACGATTGTATTTAATGTTTATATACGCCCGTTTATGCATAATATAATAATAATAATGGCGTCGGCGATATATATAAGTAGTATATATATGTTGCTATACATCATTATTTCTACCTATAGCTGCTATATAAATTGTATTTGAGTGATGATGACCGTCGTTGTAATAATTACTAATATTTACTATAGGTGCTTGTATAATGTATAATACCTACACCTACATTTAAAATGATTAAAATTAGAATTTTTTCGTTTTCAGGTACCTATTATTAGATAGTATAATAGCTATATTTATAAACTAGTTATTAACTGTTAAATGTTTTTTTGCATCCTCCGATATGAGATATGTATTCATCCGCTTTTTATTTTTTTCCTAGGACAAAGTTATATATAGAATATTTTCTTCCACTGTCTCCACAAGTCCAATTACTATTCCCCCCCCCTATTTCCTAAAATTTTTTAAAATATCAAATTTTCACACATTATTTGCTTATATTATTAATTTCCATAATTTTTTGGCCAAGCATTTATTTTGTTTATATATTTATAATTTCTGTGTACCAATGTAAATATGAAATTCGAAATTAACTAAAATTAAAACCACTGTAATAAAATAGAATAATTTAGAACTAGGTTCCTATAGATACCTATAATATTGGTATATGATGTATTCAAATGGTCGTACATTTTTTAATTATAGCTATATCTATGCGGCTATATTATATTACTTATATAAGGAGAGTATGTACACCCTTATACATAAATTATTACAAAATAAATAGGGAATTTGAGTCCAATTTTTTTTTTAATGAACAGCTAGTGGAGAAAAATGGTTTCACTCAAATGTCCGATATAATCAAATATAACAATATCATCTGTAATATCTAATAATACGAGTAGACATAAGACCCGGTGAGTTTTATATCGTTTGTCTGAATAAATAAAAGGTTCAGAAAAAGTTATAATAGTGTTTTGCGTCCCATGTAGTGCATACTTACTATACATCGTTGCGTCCTTATCGATAACTATCATTAACTCTCGATGTAAGTACATGTAATAATTTAACAAACAGAATAATATTTGTAATCATAATAATTAAAATTTGTATTCTATATATTACATTATAATTTCATAATAAGTGTAAGGTATTGTAAGGCTAGGTTGACTATGTTGAACTATTATGCATGCTTAATGTTTACCTTTTACGGGGGACACTGCAGTAGTATATAATACCTATATTAAGTGGAAGTGTATTATAAGTGTAAAATCGATCTTATTTTATATGAAAACTATTCCCAATTACACTGCGCCATGATTGCATACACCAGCTTGGTCTCGATTGTGCCTAAATATGTTTTATTTATATAATATGCATATTGTATAATATATATACATTTATTTATATTATTGAACATTCTATTATGTACATAATGTTTTTTTTTTTTTGAAATGAGCCTCGGCAACTATGGTCATTGGCAACAAAGAGCTTAAATTGTTTACATGTTACATATTAAATATTATTTATTAGGTTGGATTTAAAAATGAATGTTATAACGCGTCCTATGTTGTCCAGGTGGAGGGCTTCCGATAAAATGCTTGAGATGCCCGCTTCTTGTCTCTCCGTCTCGTACGAGTACATAATGTTATTTATTATATTATTTGTGCTTATTGTATTGTATACCTATGTTATGTACCTTTATACACCAATGTACCCGTTAAACTTATTTATTAATAAATAGGATATCAATTCTATAATATATTAAAATGTACTTACACATAAATAATATCTACAAGAGTGTGATGATATTCATACATAGCAGGTAAGCATATATACAGGGCATGGTGCACAATTCACTCAATTATTATTCACAATCAAAGTTTACATTTGTATAATATGAACACGACGCATACCTATATAATAGTATAATTTACATACATACCTATCCGCAACAGTGCAATGTGGTGTACATAACGGACAACCAGCATAATATATTTTATATGATTATATTTTATACGAATAAAATTATTTCTTGAAATTGAGTTCCACATAATGCTATAGGACATAATACCTATATGTATTAAGTGTATATAACTAAGGTTTAAGTTACACGATAGTGTGATGTTTACGTGTGAATGTGCAGTGGTATATATAATATAATACGAAATTCAAAGAATTTTTCTAGTTTAAATATTTGCATTATCTGTAATTGCATATTTAGTGGAAATACATGTGCAAAATGTATTACACAAATATTATACCAATGCGAATTTGATTTATTCGACTGATTTATTGTACGGTTATATTCGATTATAATCTTCAAAGTATTTATAAATATATTATGTATTTAGCATGCTGGTTTTGAAAGTGAAAATCAGTTAAATTAAATTGGGTTATACTAATATGATCTTGAAATTTAAAATTCTTACTTATTTATATATGTATGTACATAACTTTATTTGTGTTATTATAATATGCTTAATATTAATTTTGGTACTTATTTTACACTATTGGTGTGTACTTACTATGAACAATAGTTACAGTTTATTATGTAATTAATTGTTGGCTGATTAAATATAAAAATATACATAAATAATATTTGCTGCGGTGTATGTATTATTGTTTAATAATTTGTATAAATACAACACACGTGTTTCTCTGTTTCGTATAGATGTATGTATTATATTTATATTGGTAAATTAAGACCGACACATCCATTTTAGAAGATTCCTTATTGTCACATTTATTATAATATGTATCTTTCTATCTAAAAATCATTGATTTTAATTATTTTTTTCAATATTTTAGCTTTTCTATTTAAAAATAAATTGTATTAATTATGTTTATATATGTATAAACTATATAATAATATATGGTCACAAATAATTGACCTATAATACAATATTGTTTCGGTTGGTCATTAATACCTATATTATATTATTTGGACCCAAAAATTAATACTCGATTCATAAAATTATACATCAAAGCACACTACTGATACCTGTTAATGTAATCAATATAAGGTACCTATAGGTATTTTGTTTTTAATAGAAACATTAAATTGCATTATGGGTACTTATGTATAGCTATTTTAGAATTAAGACACTTTAGAAACAACATTCAGATTTTAACCAGGGAAAATAGTAATATTGAAACATAACAATAGAAGGTAAATATATGCATAATTTGGTTTATTATCATGAAATATCTATAATATATTATTATAATTGTATGTATTGGTCATATTACGTAGATCAGTAGTGAGTACCTTTAATACCTATATAGCCTATATAGGTACCTGGAATATAATAAACATATTAAGTATACGCGTATATACCGCATAATGTTATATAATCGTATACATTATATGTTTATATCTATTATTGTTTTTCCAAAATAATTTTACAAGTATCAATTAATATTTTTTTCATAAATAGTTACCCAAATACGCATTTTCGAGAATATTTAGTTTCTGCAATGTTTATACCATGACGTATAACTGTATATAACTCAATATTATCCATGATATAATCTTTGGGTTGCTCCCCGGTTTAAAACAATATACTTATTTGTAGGTATTAGCTACCTAGGTATAAAATGTCTGTTTAATTGCTCACACCACACAGCAACTGCAGCTGGGTAGCGTGGGTGAAAACAAGAGTGAATATGGGGTGATTTCTAACCACTGTATATAATGAGTTATATATTTATATAACACCATGAAGGTTAGGTACCTACTGTACTCGTATAAATAGGGTTCCGACCGTAAACGTTATATGCGTTAAACTTCTGTATACATATTATAATCGCCACATTTTACCTACATATACGTGTTATACGAATTTGTTGGAAGGAACTCGAAAATAGAACCCTCGATGAGTTTAATATCAATCATCGAGGGGACGAAGCCCTGCGATTATCTTCAAAGGTCTCTCGACCGGATTCGCCCGAGGTTAGGTTAGCGTGGGGGTTGGTGGTGCGAACGGGTAGGCCTACAGTCTACACTTAG